TCTTACAAATGTGTAAACAAGTCTATTGTCCTTGCTCTACGTCTCGGTCATTGCTGTGAGCTCCTTTTTCGCTGGTAGTGCGCTCGGCCTTTTCATTATCCGATGATGTCTTTGACCTCTGCGAGGGTACCTTGCCCTCTGCATCGACACCTCGACGCGCCTCTGGAGAGGTCACGTTGGGCTGCACGGCGTGTTTGCTCCTCGCTCTGATCGTGTCACCGTAGCGGTAGAGGATGAAGGGGAGAGGTGCGAGTGCCAGAGCGATGAGAGCGAGCAGCAATCCTGCGAACTGGTAGCGCATCCCTTGGAACATGTAAGTGGCGTAGAGGGGAGAAGCGGCAGCCATGCCGTTTCTGAGCAGGCCCTGACCAGCAATGGCAGAGGAAGCGACGGAAGGGTAGCAATCGGCCGTGTAGGAGTAGACGGCCAAAAAGACGGCATAGGTACCGAGAATGATGAGGAAAATGGCGAGTATGGGAGCTATCCAATGCACAAAGGCGAATTGCGTCCAGCTGAAAATCATAATGCCGATGCCGAATAGCGGTCCGAAGATCATGGCGCCGTAAAGCCTGTACTCGGGCTTTGCTACTCCTCCGTTGTTGCGAGCGCTGCGCTCGTACATCTTGTCTTGCCAGAGACCCAAGCCAAACCCGGCAAAGCAGGCCAAGATGGCGGCAATGTAGGGCAATCCAGCATTGCCCTCGGACCACCCATGATTGCCGGCAAAGGTGAGGGGAATGACGCTGAGGAAGAGGAATACCGTCATCCAACAGAGCGCAATGTACAGCCCAAAAAAGAGGATGACGCTTTCGGTGAAGAGAAGTTTGATGCTTCTCAGACAGCTGGCTCTAAACATGTCCATGAGCGTATCGCCTTCCAATTCTGCACGCGCTCTAAACCTCTCGTCTCCAGTCTCTTTTCGAAGCCTCTTGGCCCGCGATCGAAGAATGGCATCGCCCCTCGACTCTTTCAAGAAGCAGAGCTCAAACAAAAGTACTGCGCCGGTGAGGATCAGGTGCACATACTGAATCCAGCGCCAGCCCAGTCGTTCGTCGATGTACCCGCTGTAAGCCGGTGCGCCAACTGTGGAAACGATGGCGCAAAAGCTGAAGAGTGACATGGGCACCGAAATTTCCTTTGTGCTCCATACTGTTCCCGCGTCGCAAGGAGAAAAAGTCGTCAG